CCGGCTGCCGTAGCCCTGGCCGGGGCGGGGAGGAAAGCTCAACCCGCTCCCCTCCAAGGGACTCCGGGAAGGAACACTGAGGCGCGGGGGCAGAGACTGCACTGCTCTCGTCCGGGATCTGGATTTTATAGTCTCTGAGTCTTGGCCGCTGATGGGATTACACGGCGCCAGGGGGCCAGGTGGTGGGTGTGACCCCCGCCTACTGGAATTTGGAGGATCTGGGTGGAAGATGCTCGACTCCAATTCGAGTAGGCTTGGAGGTCTCGGCCCCGGAACCCGCGTGGCTTTGTCCCTCTGCCAGTACCTTCAGGTGTGCGGAGAGTGGTCTCAGCATGGTGGTGGCTGGTCCTGGAGGTCTCCGGCTGCCGTAGCCCTGGCCGGGGCGGGGAGGAAAGCTCAACCCGCTCCCCTCCAAGGGACTCCGGGAAGGAACACTGAGGCGCGGGGGCAGAGACTGCACTGCTCTCGTCCGGGATCTGGACTTTATAGTCTCTGAGTCTTGGCCGCTGATGGGATTACACGGCGCCAGGGGGCCAGGTGGTGGGTGTGACCCCCGCCTACTGGAATTTGGAGGATCTGGGTGGAAGATGCTCGACTCCAATTCGAGTAGGCTTGGAGGTCTCGGCCCCGGAACCCGCGTGGCTTTGTCCCTCTGCCAGTACCTTCAGGTGTGCGGAGAGTGGTCTCAGCATGGTGGTGGCTGGTCCTGGAGGTCTCCGGCTGCCGTAGCCCTGGCCGGGGCGGGGAGGAAAGCTCAACCCGCTCCCCTCCAAGGGACTCCGGGAAGGAACACTGAGGCGCGGGGGCAGAGACTGCACTGCTCTCGTCCGGGATCTGGATTTTATAGTCTCTGAGTCTTGGCCGCTGATGGGATTACACGGCGCCAGGGGGCCAGGTGGTGGGTGTGACCCCCGCCTACTGGAATTTGGAGGATCTGGGTGGAAGATGCTCGACTCCAATTCGAGTAGGCTTGGAGGTCTCGGCCCCGGAACCCGCGTGGCTTTGTCCCTCTGCCAGTACCTTCAGGTGTGCGGAGAGTGGTCTCAGCATGGTGGTGGCTGGTCCTGGAGGTCTCCGGCTGCCGTAGCCCTGGCCGGGGCGGGGAGGAAAGCTCAACCCGCTCCCCTCCAAGGGACTCCGGGAAGGAACACTGAGGCGCGGGGGCAGAGACTGCACTGCTCTCGTCCGGGATCTGGATTTTATAGTCTCTGAGTCTTGGCCGCTGATGGGATTACACGGCGCCAGGGGGCCAGGTGGTGGGTGTGACCCCCGCCTACTGGAATTTGGAGGATCTGGGTGGAAGATGCTCGACTCCAATTCGAGTAGGCTTGGAGGTCTCGGCCCCGGAACCCGCGTGGCTTTGTCCCTCTGCCAGTACCTTCAGGTGTGCGGAGAGTGGTCTCAGCATGGTGGTGGCTGGTCCTGGAGGTCTCCGGCTGCCGTAGCCCTGGCCGGGGCGGGGAGGAAAGCTCAACCCGCTCCCCTCCAAGGGACTCCGGGAAGGAACACTGAGGCGCGGGGGCAGAGACTGCACTGCTCTCGTCCGGGATCTGGATTTTATAGTCTCTGAGTCTTGGCCGCTGATGGGATTACACGGCGCCAGGGGGCCAGGTGGTGGGTGTGACCCCCGCCTACTGGAATTTGGAGGATCTGGGTGGAAGATGCTCGACTCCAATTCGAGTAGGCTTGGAGGTCTCGGCCCCGGAACCCGCGTGGCTTTGTCCCTCTGCCAGTACCTTCAGGTGTGCGGAGAGTGGTCTCAGCATGGTGGTGGCTGGTCCTGGAGGTCTCCGGCTGCCGTAGCCCTGGCCGGGGCGGGGAGGAAAGCTCAACCCGCTCCCCTCCAAGGGACTCCGGGAAGGAACACTGAGGCGCGGGGGCAGAGACTGCACTGCTCTCGTCCGGGATCTGGATTTTTTAGTCTCTGAGTCTTTGAAATTCAGTGACTAAATTTGAAAAAAAATTACCCTAGGATTAGTCTTTGAATAGGTAGCACTGTAGCACGGTCCTCCCATTGTTTGTTCATCTTGTTCATCGATTCGCTCGAGCAGGCATCAGTATCATCTCCATTGCGAGACTTGTTGTTATTGTTTTTGGCATATCAAATACACCATGGGGAGCTTGCCAGGCTCTGTCATGCGGGCAGGATACTCTTGGTAGATTCCTAGGCTCTCTGAGAGAGGAAAGATAGCTGTGGTATCACCCAAGCCCTTTGAATAGGTACTAGGAATATTGATGTCTGAGTCAAAATAAAAGAAATAGAATTATAAGAGTACATTCAAACTATTTAAAAAATTAAAACGAAGTAAAAGTTATCAAGAAAATTTGTGAGCTGGGAACACCTCCCTCATAAAATATGGATTATGAAGTTCATATTTTAAATGGGCAAATGGATATTATTTGCTGAGAAATTATTTTTTAAAAGGTTTGTTCTATTTGTCTGACTTCTGAGACTTTAAGGTTTTTTTTAGGTTGTTTTATACCATACATATTTTAAGCTTACAAATTTACACCTTTTCAAAATATGTCTTTTCATGCATACACACCGCTAGAGTTATCAAAATCCTCTCACTGTAATCCAGTTCTCTTTTGGTAACCTCACTCTGTTCTCTGAATCTAAAGGTTTGTTTTCATTTGGTTTTGTCATTACCATCCTCTGCTTCTCTGTATCTCACATATGTGTAAGAACATCTGGTATCTGTCTTTGTCCTTCTGGTTCATTTCACTAAGGATTTCGCTTTTGCGTTTCATTTTGAAATATCTATTCCTTCCCACTTTGCTGTGCCTGGCATTCGCCAGACTTGGTTTCTCATCAGTTATGGGTGTATTTATTCATTCCAAAGTGACTTCAAGAAAGAAACTAAAATTCCAATCCAAGCCAGATTCTGCCACCAAGAGAAAGAATTCTTCATCACAAATACACCTCTAGATTGAATGATAAATGGTTGAAATGTTGTCACAATTATGGAAGACCATTAACACAATGTAAACATAGACACCATTAGACAAGGCTGAATCAGCAAAAAACTTCTTGATAACTTTAATTAATCATGTCTATTGATAAGCATGTAAAATAATTATTCCATGCTTATTAATATCTATAGAATTCATAAATAATTATTGTTAGTAATAACAAAGACATTAATAAAACTAAAAACGAGTTGCTCAATTAAAAAAATGCTGCTCCTGAAAATAAAAGAAAATTCCACGTAGAAAGTTTAAGTGATGTCACACACCCATAAAGACAAAAGTCAATTTAAAGGCCTGAACTCAAAAGACAGTGAGATAGATGCAACGCAGAAAAAATTATAGAACAAATCAACAAAAAAGTGTTACATTATAAATTATAAATTATTATAAATTACACATATACATAATGTTATTGTTTTATAAATAATTAATGCAATAATATAATCAATTTAAAGTAATTCCCAGAGATAAATATGATAGTATAATCATACATTCATGTTAAAGGTAATCAAACATATCATGTCAAAATCATATAAGTAATGACTGGAGTTATAGTACAGCATGTAGGGGACATGCCTTGCACTCAGTTGACTAGGATTTGATCCCTGATACCCTATATTATTCCCAAGGTCTATCAGGTATGTTCCATGAGCAACTGAGCCAGAAGTAATCCCTTCACATTCTGGTGAAAGTGTGGCCCCCAAACCAAAAATAAAAAGTGTATTAATAAAATTAAGGAAATTCAATAAGTTTATGTAATTTCTTTATGAAAAAGATACATCCTTGCAGAAAGATTTAGTCTGCATGTTACTTACACTATGTCTAAATTATTATATCCCAGTAGTTGCAGAAGATAAACAAGTCAAATATATAGAAATCAGTAATAATCAAGAAATAAACCATAATCAAAAGTGTTCTTGACTTCCAAAGTTAAAAAATGTAGAAAGTTCTGGGGGCTGGAGCAATAGCACATTGGGTAGGGCGTTTGCCTTGCACGTGGCTGACCCTGGTTCGATTCCCAGCATCCCATATGGTCCCCTGAGCACCACCAGAAGTAATTCCTGAGGGCAAAGTCAGGAGTAACCCCTGTGCATAGCCGGGTGTTACCCAAAAAGCAAAAAAAAAATGTAGAAAGTTATCAAAAAACTAGAAATTGATCTTCCTTATGATCCAGCAATACCACCACTTCTGGGAATATACACCGGGGGCCCAAAACCACAGAAGAAATGCTATCTGCCCTTCTATATTCATTGTGGCACTATTCACAACAGTTAGAATCTAGAAACAACCAGACTGCCCGGGAATAGATGACAGGTTAAAGAAACTATGGTACATCTATACAATAGAATACTAGGTAGCTGTTAGGAAAAATAAAGTCATGAAATTTGCTTATATATAATAGATGTTCATGGAGAGTATCATGCTGAGTAAAGTGAATCCGAAGAAGAGGGATAGATAATGATTGGACTCATTTGTGGGATATAAAAAAAACATAATATGAGATGAATACCCAAGGATAGAAGAAATAAGGGTCAGGGGAACTGGTCCATGATCAAAACTTACCTTAAATGCTGGAGGAGAAGGCAGTTGGGATAGAGAAGGGACCATCATGACACAGATAGTCGGAAATGATCATTCTGGATAAGAATGCGTGCTTAAAACAGGTAAAGGAACACAATAACTTCTCAGTACCTGCATCGCAAACCATCATGTCCCAGAGGTGGCAGGGTTTGGGGATCGGGGGAGAGACAGAGACAGAGACAGAGAGACAGAGACACAGAGAGAGAGAAAGAAGGAAAGTGCCTGCCATAGAGACAGGCTGGGGCAAGGGTGGAGGGAGGGAAACTGGGGACTTGGTGACATGACTGAAACCCAGTGATGATCAGCTTTGTAACTCTGTATCTCATGGTCATTCAGTTAAAAAAAAAGTGTACACCCTAGAAGAAAATGTAAAAAGGTTTTGATTAATGTGTTGTTATTTGAGCATGGAATTAGAAATAGTTGAATAGCACAAAACAAATTACATAAAAATGCCCATAGAATCTGAGAACAATCTTTATCATGAGCCTGGAAGTATTGCAGTCTACAGGGTAAGAAGGGTGCTTTGGGCCTTAGAGACTGCATTGTAGGTTAGTTATGCTGCTGTACTGGAACCTTACAGGGTCAAAGTCATTTTAAACATGGTTTCTGATGATTAATATTAATAATCAAAGTATTAAAAAAGGAGTGCAAATAAACTAGGAGTAGTAAGATGTTCAAATGCATCACTAGCTCATTCATTCTCTCCTGGTAACTTGACTGTTTCTTGTCTTAATATTTGCACTAAAGATCTTCTTTATGTCTGGACACTGTTCCAAGACCATCGGGCTGGAGCGATAGCACAGCGGGTAGGGCGTTCGCCTTACAAGCGGCCAACATGGCCGACCCGAGTTCGATTCCTCCGCCCCTCTTGGAGAGCCCGGCAAGCTACTGAGAGTATTCGTATATGCCAGACACAGTAACAATAAAGTCTCCAATGGAGACGTTACTGGGCCCGCTCGAGCAATATGAAGTATATAGATAATATTTTTCTGTCTCCACTAACACAAAATATATAGATAACTTATTTTTATAAAAGAGGGTGCTGAAATTTCTGAAGGGAATTAGGTTTGGTTTCCAAATATATGAGAAAGGGACATAAGACATTGTAACTATACAATAGGATCAACTTAAATGTTTGAAGTAATTGAATTTAAGGCACATTAATACACATCATGTGAAGCCACAGTGTGAAAACGATGGATTCTCACCATTCCAGGTCTTTCTTAGTTGTTTTGGGGGAAATCTGAATATTATCCAGCTCACAATAAGAGATGTTGAAAGGTACTATATTAGCATGAAAACTGGCTGCTGAAGGGCAAAGGACAAGAAGAAATGAAGTTGGGATAAGCGGAGATATGGACATAGGGTGATGAGATGGTTGCGCAGGTATGGGCACTGGAGGAGGAAGGCCACTTTATTTTCCTTTATTGACAGAAATGACAACATTTAGCAATTTGGGCTCTTTTGTCATGTCCTCCTAAGAGTTGCTTATGATTTTAGTTTGTTTCTAATCATCTCTTGAAAGATGCTAACTTTGACAAATAATCTAATGGTTTTATGAGAATGTTATTCCAAATCCTTTTGGGGAACATCTACAAGACCTCAAAGGAACTGGAGATGTTTCTCCTGTTGGCTAAAATTATTAAAAAGTCTTACTTTTCACAGTTACCAGCTGCAAGATGGATTTCTAGAGAATAAAGCTTGGAAGGTCCCCCTTTATTTTCTTTTCTTTTCATCCAAATAGTCTAGGCCTATTTTGCAAAAGGACTTTTCTTATACCCTCTGATTGAAAACCCTAAGTGAGGCAGGGTGTGCGTGTGTGTGTGTGTGTGTGTGTGTGTGTGTGTGTGTGTGTGTGTGTGTGTGTAGAAGGGAAAGCAGAGAAACTCTGACAATGTGAGAAAAAAAGTTCATTATTTTTACCGTATTTGCACAGTGTCACTTTAAATAAGTGCTACCCTGGAGAAGGTTTTTATTGTTTGAACCACAGGCTTTATATTACCTAAAAAAAAATAAAAAATAAAAAGCCTCTCAGTCGCAAGTTGGATGCTCCTGGCAGCAATACAAATCTAGCACCACCCCGGGAGGGAGCGTATATTGCTTCTCATTTACTTCTGGCAGGAGAGAGGAATGCTGGACATCAAGCGACAACAGGAGGGCTGCCCAGAGCATCGCCTTGCAGCTCCCCTTTCCCACATTTGAGCCTCTTCCTTTTGGAACACACAGGTAAGTATCTGAGCTACCTATCAAAGTGCGCTTCCTAACCCATTCCATGCTCCATGCGGGCCGTGAAAGTCAAATGCCAAATGCCGGGCAGTGCAGCTGCGGAGTAGGTCGCTTCAATTGCTCAGAGGGCGCAGGCAGGCCAGGTAGGTCAGAAGCTTCTCATCTGACCCCATAAATTGCTGCAAAGGTCCTTTTGGGTTCTATTCCTGTGTATATCTTTGTAGCTTGCTTTTCTGTTAGAAATACTCAAGCAGCAATTCTTTCTACAAATCTGTGCTAGTTGTTAATGTGCTATTCTTTCAAAGTCAGAAATCAGAAGTCTTAGAGAAAGCTTTACTGCTGAATGATTAAATATCATAGAGTTTAGTCTTCAATGTCATTGTTTCAGAATATTAAAAATTGGCAAAATATAAGATTTCAAGTTAGACAATGACTAGAAAACTAGAAAGTTAACTTTTCCTCCCTTTAATATGCCAGTTTTCTCTAAATATAAAATTCGATGCTGTAAATTGGGTTCTTAATGAATTTTTTATATCACAAATTTTGTTTCCACTTAGATGTCAGAAACTGAGTTGGAAAAGAAAAAAGTAAGAACTGCTGAGCATTTTGAAAATGATAAAAATAACATTTCTTGGTTAAAGGAAGGTAAGTCCTCTTGCTGATGATTTGCTCTCCATATGAAAATTATGCTTTTTGCTCATAAATAAAAAAGTGTAGGAGGAGGAAAAACTCACTCCTGCAGTTTAAATGAGATTAGAACGTCTGATTTTATTTTTCTCTGTCTTAATTTTCTTGTATTTTTCTTTTCTTTTCTTCTTTTTTTTTGGCGTATGGATTGTTGGAAGGTTTTTAAAAATAAAATTAAACCTGTGTACTCTGCGTTGCAGTAAATATAAATTATTTTGTTGGTAATATTGCCTCTTTTCAACTCAGCTGTACCTCTGATCCATAAAGTTCAAGGTGTGCTTCAGAATTTTCTTTGTTATTAACTATAGAGGAGACTATGAGGATAAGTCTTCTCAAAAAAATAATTACAGATAAGAATGCATGCTGTAGGAAGTAATGTCTACAAATAGAATCACCATTCACAGCAATTAGAGAAGCCACCTTCCCAAGGGACAATGCTGTCAGCCACAGGCACTGCATGCCTAAGATGGTTGCTGGAAATACGCATAAATCGATATGTTCTCCTTTGATGAGTACAAATTTGTGCACTTTTGAAAATAGGCATGAACTCATGACTACTTACTAGAGGGTTTGGTTTTATAATTGTTCCTTTTATGTATACCTTTATATATTTTTAAACACTTTCTTGCACTTTATCTAAATAAGTGTGTATATCGTTTATACTATTTTATAAATCTATTCATTTGCAAAGGGAGAACCCCGGCTGGGGGTGTGGCTCAGTGACAGAGTGCATGCACCACATGTTGAGGACCTGTATTCAGTTCCCTGGCAGAGGGGGCTGGGCAGGGAGGACAATCATGGGAGGCATTAATACATATGTTCAGTAAATTCTACAACACCAAAACAAAAAACTCAACAGTGTCTTCTAATGATTATACTGAATCATTGTAACAACCTTATGAAACAAAAAGTGTCCCTAATCTCCAACGGAAGAAAGCGGATTCTCAAAGTTTAATTTAAAAAATTAGAAATGAAGGGACTGGAGTCATAGCACAGTGGGCAGGGTGTTTGTCTTGCACACGGCTGACCTTGCATCCCATATGGTCCTCCAAGTAACGCCAGGAGTAATTCCTGAGTGCAGAGCCAGGAGTAACCCTGGTGCATCACTGGGTGTATCTAAAAAGAGAAAGACAGATTAGAAATGCCAGGACTGGTTAGGGAGCTATTCAGTTTGTGTAACTCCACAGCAAGTGGATTTCACAACCATCGTAAACAGTGTCCCAAAGGAAAAGCTGTAGGAACTGGAGTGATAGCCCAGTGGATACTGCACTTACCTTGGACACAGCCTACTTGTGTTCAATCCCCAGCATCCCATATGGCTCCTGGAGCACTTCTAGTAATAATTCCCGAGGACAGACCAGGCAGGAATAACCTCTGAGCATCACTGGGTGTGGCCAAATAAAACGCAAAGGAAAGGCTATTTAAATTACTTGTCAGAATATGCTCTGTGCTCAAAAAGTTTTCCTTCAGAATTTAAATAAATATTTCTATCTTCATGCTTTCATCTTCATCCCCCTTTTTTAGGGGAGGAGTGGGAAGCAGGAGATGGGATATCCCAAGAACTAAACTCAGGGCTCTGTACATGGGAAGAATGCCCTCTAGCCCGGAACCTCAGCCCTAGTCCCTCAATTCTATATCCTAATCCAATTCAATGCCCGATTTAAATTTTGAATTTACCCTTTTTTGTTTGTTTGGTTGTTTGGGGGCCACACTCAGTGATGCTCAGAGCTTACTCCTAGCTATGTGATCAGGAATCACTCGTGGCAGGTTTTAGGGACTTTTCTGGGGTGCTAGGGATTAAACCGGGTTTGGTTGTATGCAAAGAAAGCACCCTATCTGCTGAATTATTGCTCCAGGCCCCCAAACTTTTACCTCTTAAAATAAAAATAATTTATTTTCTCTGATGAACATGTAAAACATTTAATAGCTACCTCAGAACTGTTTTTGACAGAAAGTATACTTCAGGACTTCAGGATAAGAGCTGATGTGACCATAAGTCATTTTCTTTTAATAGCCTGAGGAACAAGACTTTATTTTATTTCTTTTTAATAAAGTATCTCTTAAGAAGAAACTTTTAAGAATCAATATGGAAGTAAAACATTAAACTTGAGTAGCTCTTGTGAGCTCCAATCCATGAAGACAGAAGTTTTCTTCACTACACATTACAGTTAAGTTATAATATATTTTTTATTCTAAGTGGATCCATACTATCAATATCTCACATAGAAATAATGATGGAATTGATAGATCAATTGTTTTTATTTTTTATAATTATATCTATTCAGTAGAGTTCAAATATTGAATTCTTGTGTTCTACAAAATCTAATTGCCCAGGTTAACTGTCTCATTTTAGACATTTCATTTAAGTAATATTCAGATTATGTTTACTGTGCTTCATAAAAGAACCAGATATAGGCTGGTGTCAGAGGTTCATTTTTGTAAGTATGGGACTTTCGTTTGATTTCAGTTTCCTCATAGAATCCCAAATAATTACTGGATGTGGTCCCGGAGGCTCCCTGCACCACAAAAGCTGAGTAATATCACATCATGGATTGAAATATTGAACCACTAGACCCAATTGACAGAGTATTGCTAGAAATGTTCTTCAGACTGTCTGAGCACTGTTTGAAAATCTCACAAATATAAAAATGAATAAACTTTTAAAGTAGTTGGGGCCTGGGATATGGCACAAGGGTTAATCCACTTGCCTTGCACATGTACTTTTTTGAATCTGAGAATCATGTATGGTGCCCCAAGCACCAACAGCAGTAATTTCTGAGTACAGGGCCAGGGGTAATCCCTGAGCACTGGTAGGTATGATCCAACCCCATCCTCCCCTTAGTAGAACCAATTGCTAGATGACAACACTACACCTTAATTCAGTATTATCAGTTTGAATTAGTTATTTTTTAAAAACACAAATTTCTTGTCTTTTGTGAGGAGGAAGGTCAGGTGTTGGTACTCAGGGCTTCCTCCTAGCTAGGGCACCCAGGGGTCACTGCTGGCAGTGCTTAGGAGCCATATAGGGTGTGAGGGATCAAACTTGGGTCGGCCACAAGTGAGAAAGTACCTTGCCTGCTATACTATCACTCCAGCCCCCATACATGTCTTTTTTAATGTTAAGAAAACGCATAGGTCTTGGCTTAGTATCTTTAAAGGCAATATGGCATAGTGGAAAGTGATGTAAGTATGCTTTTTAAATCTCATGATAAATATTTATTTTCTACGTGGTTGTGGCATATTGCTTGACCTGCTTAACCTTACACTTTTGTTTTCGGAGTCAGATTCAGATATGCTCTAGAGCTTAATTCTTGCCCTGAGCCCAAGGACTGCTCCTGATCATGGGGGACCATAAGCAGTGCTTGGGATAGAAGCCTGATTGGCTATATGTAATACCAGCGTCAGCCTTCGATTGTTTTGTTGCAGACCATAGTGCTTGCTTTATGAAATTACGAGAGAGAAGTTTTATTGTTTGTGATTATGTCACTCTATTAATTCAAAATAATATACTAACATTATGAGTGCCTGGTTTATACTTTGAATAATCTACCGTAGAAATGGCATTGTGCATTTATTACTTTGTCTGAGCTTCTTTATTTGGTTCCTTGTTGTGCCCACTATTGCCCCCATTTTCCAAACTGAAACAGTGAGTATCCATGAAATTGTGGATCTGGCTCAAACTTATTAAGTAAGATGTTCAGAAACACTTTGAGAGGCCAGAAACAGAATATAGTAAGTCGGTAGGGTTCTCCTCTTCCTTGCAGAGAACCCAGGTTTGATCCCTAACTTCCCATATGGTCCTCTGAGCCACACCAGGAATAATGCCTGAGTGAAGAATCTGGAATCAACCCTGAGCACAGCAGCTTGTAGCTCCCTGAAACAAACGAAAAAGACCGCACTGAATTTTGAACCTGAGTCTTCCAGTTCCAAATTATTTTCTTTGCTTTAAATTGAGTAGTGATCAAAATAGTGGAAATAACTTCACAATTATCATTAAGCAGTATCTTAAGTTTATCAAGCCCCTTTTAAGTATGAAATAGAAACTTTAAAGTTGTTCTAACAATTTTTTACATAAATAGCAAAAGTGGTTGCTTTCCACATCACAATGTCTCTTGTCCTCTATAATTTCATCTGAATGTTTAAAGCGTAACCATCTTGCTTTCCAAAGAGGCTCTTATTTGCCTTCCAATTTTCCTCAGGTAAATCACATTCCTGATGGTCCGGAGATGGTTTCAGAGAGCTGCTAAGACCACATAAACAGCTACATTCCACAACTAGGGCAAAGTTTTGAGAAACATACTGGCAAATATAAAAATGCACCCATTGTAAATTTAGCAGAATTCTATTTTATCTTCCATAAAGCCACCAGGCATTTTTTTTTATCGTAGTTGATCATATTGCCTTTATTGTCTGGATTCCTGCCTAAAGGAATTTTATAGAACACAAGTGGAGCTCAAGAACAATGTTTTGGAGTCAGATAGACAATTATAAGGGATTATACATTGAGAAGCTTGTTTTGTATTATTTTTGTTTTGAGAACACCATTCCATTGGTGCTCATGGATTATATGTGGCAAGGCTACATGGACCACATGTGGTTCTGGGGATCTAACCTGGGTCTGATGCTTTCAAAACAAGTGCCTTACCTGCCATATTGTCTGTAAATCTCCTAAAAATATGCTCTGTAGCACTTTAGCACTGTCCTCCCATTGTTTATCGATTTGCTTGAGCAGGCACCAGTAATGTCTCCATTATGAAACTTGTTACTGTTTTTGGCATACCAGATACACCATGGGGAGCTTGCCAGGCTCTGCCATGTGGGCAGATTACTCTCGGTAGCAGAAATATGCTCTAAACAAAGAAATAAAATCTGACTTTGAAATATACAACAACAAAAAAATTATCTGCATCCTGAGCGCAATCTTGAAGATGGTCGTGGGCTATTTGCAGAGAGGGTAG